ACAAGGTGACCTCCAGAGGTCACTTCCAACCTCAGCCATCCTGATTATGTGAATAAAGGTATGTACACCCTGTGCTGAAGGTGCCACATTCTTTAATGACAGAGAAAATTGTGTGAGGTTTGCTCCTGGCAAGGTAGCTCATTATCTTCAGGAGTGCTAAGGTTACTATAGGAACCTGAATGTTTTAGTGGGACTCAATGTGATAAACACACAGTGTGAGCAACATAAAGCTGCATGCTTTTGTATATGCATCAATATCAAAACTAGTCTGTGTTAATGCTTCTTCAAATCCTATTAATTTCAACCTTTTAAATTAATCAGGCCTCTTTCTTTGCAAATCTTATTAAGGAGAGGGATAGGCCATAATAACAATTATCTGAAAGTAATAGTTGAGAATTATCCACTCACCATTTTCCATGTGGTGGTGGAGCACTGTAGTGGAGCAATTCCTGTGCTTTGGATATTCCACAAAACCAAAATTTTTCCTGCTTGTGTCCACCAAAAATATCTCAGAAATTTTCTCATTCTTCTATAAGTCTAGTCCTAGATTTCTGGTTAAAGACACCCAAAATTTTATCTGTGTTAAATCTATGCAACCATGTTGTTAATTTGAGCTCTCTTGTGGGTGAAAGCTGCTATACATATGCAAAAGCATCATTGCTCTGAAAATTGGTCCTTTACCTGCTGGATGCAGACTTCCTGTGGGTTTTTCTATTTAAAACAGAAAACAACTGCTCTGCAAATTCTTTTAAGTGTCAGCATTTTCCATGCATTTAACTTTTCTCACTTCCTGGGTGGATGATGGGATTCACTTTCTGGAAGCCAAAGAGAATGTAATCATCTTCCTGTATCCCAGGGCTGCTCTGGATCATCCAACTACAGCTGCTGGAGACAGAGGAAATTCACCTTTAGTGCAAAAGAGCTGCAAGACTGCAAGAGTGAGTGGTTTTAAGAAATTGGTATTAACTTTCTACCAGCCCTTGCACAACATATTAGCAACAATAATTGAAATGCACTTGGTAGAAGGCAGTAACTGCTTGGGATGGATGTCCTGAAAATGCCCCATGAAATCCCTGATATTTCCAGGCATGGGGAGGGCTGTGGAGGCTGGCAGCACAGGTAATTTTCAGCTGAAAAATGCTTTCTGCAGCTGGATATTTTCAGGACACCTTGCAACAGACAGAGAAAATTTCCCTAGAAAACTGGGGATGTGAGTCCACACAGCTTTTGTGGCTTTCCAAGTGGTTGATTTGAGCTGAGGTCCTGATATTGTTAAATATTCTCTGGGTTTAATGCTGCTCCAGGCTGCTACATCTGGAAAGTGCACCCAGAGTTTCATCCCTGGCACTGTAACATCAGCCTGTGTCACACCCTGGAAGTCATTAGGGAGGTATTAAAACATACCTTTATGTGTAAAATTTGCAACTTAGTTCATCTCTTGACAGGTTTTGAATTCTGGACAGCAAAACCAGTTCAAATTTAAGGAAAATATTTCAGGTGAGTTTTTTTTAATACTGAATTTTAGTTTCAAATAGGCATACACTATGTGCTCATGTACTGTCAGAAGAGTCCCCTCTAGATTTCTCTTTTTTCTCTTTCTTGTTTCTCTAGATTAATTCAAGTGTCTTATTAAGAAAAACCTCAGTCCACCTCAGCTTTTCTGGGATATTGCTTATAATCTACTAGTTACTGAATATGGCCAGGCTGTCTTCTGTTCTCAGGGAGATGTAGTTTAATTCCTTTGTATTGCAGCTACTACTAGGACTCAAAAGCAGCCTTTAGATCATGCAAAAGGTCCTTTGATACAAAAGAAAAATGAAGTATTTATTATAATTTTGATGAAGCCTCCATGTTCTCTTCTCTTCTCTTTTCAGTTGCTCATGCATAATATCAATTAGTAATTTCTGAAATTTGCCTGTTTCTCATGGTGTTACGGTTGCATCAGTTTGACCACAGGCAGTGCTGCAGAAAATATTGAAGAGAGTGCAAATGTGAACAGCCAGTAAAAAATTGTATTATCAGAGACATGTAGATGTAGGAAAAACTCTGCATGTACCAGTCTTATTGGTGCTTCTCATCTCTTCCTCAGTCAAATACTTTAGCTGGGTGAGAAAAAACTAAATCCAATCATCAGAGCATGCCTTGTGTATTTTATGAGGAAGCACTGTGCCCATGAGAGTGTTTTCTACACAGATTTGTCCTTCCCATGGTCACCTGGCAGCTCTGCAGAGATGCAAAGTGAGGGATTGCATCTTTCCAGTGATGGGAAAGAAAAAACAAGTAAACTTTGTTGCTTTGGGCAAACTGTTTGTGCCCAAGTAAGTTTGAAAAGTGCAGAGCTGCTACAATTTGCCATCTTTTTAAAGGGATTTTAGCTTTTGTGTGATAAACATTGCATCCATTTTTTAAACTGGCAGTAGCACTGTCCTGGTTTTGGTGTGCTGCTGTGCATTGTGAGCATTCCTAATCAACTCTTCAGGTGGGGTTTCAGCTTAATCTGCTTCAGTTCTTAAAATGGGAGATCAAACAGAATTTTGAAGGCTGGGATCACTTTAAAAAAAGAAACAAAACAAACAAAATAAAACTTGTCCATATTGCATGTTCAGATGCTGTAGTAATGGCTGGTGGAGCAGTAGGTGTTTAAACTTCAGCACACTTAGCTAAAACTGTGTGTTTTGTTAAAAACATTCTTCCTCTAAAGCAGCCCTACGCCGTGCATTCTATGATGGAACAGAGCAGAAATTGGAGAAAAAGCTCTTAAATCAATGCAGGCCATCATTCCAGGGGGCAGCATTGTTTGCTGAAGTTTTTAGCTCTCATTTGAGCTAGTTTCCAATTTCCCATACAATGGGGTTTTGGCTGCACCCATTGGGAGATTATTTCACAGTACAATAACTCTGCTGTGATGTTTGGTTGATGTCTGGCCTAAATCTTCCCTTTTAATTTCATCCCATTTTTTGCTGTTATGGCCCTAGGTATCACACTAAACAATTCCCCTTTTTCCTAAGTGGTTGGCTCATCAAATATTTCTAGACAACTACTTTCCCCCTTAGTTCAGTTGTCACTTGGTTAGTATCTAATCTTAACATTTCTGTAAAGATTTATGTTTAAGCTTTCTTTGGTTGGTTTTTATTTTTCTTTTTTCCTTTTTAAAATTTCTTTTCCTGCCACCTTATTTGTGAACAGGCCATTTCTGAGAGCTCCTGAGCATTAGCTGGCCATAGGTTCACCTGCTCTATTTTTGTTGCCCTGTCACATCCCCAGTTGGGTTTCTTTTTCTTAGAATAACTGCTTTCCAAATAATTCTTTCTTATTTCAGTTCTAGATTTTTTTCTTATTAGGAAATTCAGGAAACTGCACACAATTAAATGAATAAGTGTTTGTTGACTCTCGTACTTTTTGGTTTTTCTGATGTCTTGCTATGACATGGATGAATAAGTTAACATTTGCCACTTTACTCTTCTTCAGGACTGCTGAAATACTGTTCAGGATTCTCACATCAGCTGAGACAGTAAATAAACAGTCTTGTGATGTGCCACTAGATTGGTAAAATAAGGACTACGTGGTAGTGAAAATTGCCTTGAAAATATCAGTGAGACTGATACTTTTTAACCTTTCCAAATAACTCCCCTGTAGAAAACTGTGCCTTTTGTAAGAATAGAAATACAATTGAGTCTGTGAATATAATTAATAGAAGTCTCTCATCCCTTTTGTTTTCTTTTAAATTGATTTTTTGGGTTTTTTTTTTTTGTGAGTCTAGCAATATTTCCTCTCTTTCTAGAGGCACTTAATGATGTAAGAGTCTCAGCTTTCATTTTTAAAAGAATTTGTCTTTCAGGCTTAATTGACTGAAAAGTAGAAAAGTAGAAAATATGACTCTGGAGTTTCCAAAAATGCATATAAGATAAAGATAACTGAAGTATTTTTTCCTCTTTTAATTTACTGCTGCTTATGCAAGTTGCAAATAATTTAGATTGACCTAAATTCTTCCATGTGACTTGACAATTACATGAGTATTTGGGTTTTCTTCTAGCTTGGCTTAGAAACAGGTGAGTGGCTCCATGTCCTTGTAAGGTGTGACCCTATTTAGTCACAAAAAATGACCAAATTTTTGTGCTGAAAGTAAAAGTGCTCAAACAGGAGACATTGTTTTGCCCCAGCACAACATCTTGATTTATTTTCTAGGATGTATTCCCACTCCTTACTCAAACTCGTCAGACTCCTTCCTTGTATTTCCCTGTAATTTCTCAGCACAATTCCTTAAGTCAGATGGGATAGGAAGTATTGAAAATGGTCACCACGATGGGATGATAGCAGGATGATTGCAGGCAGGTTTGTGTCTCAGTGTGTCCTACATCTGAGCCACTCTATCCTTTCCGTCCCATGTGAAAGAGTCTCACACATTTTCATTTGTTGGCTCAGTTTCCTTCCTCTCTTTTACCTCTGGGATGAATCCTCTCCTTTGCCAGGGCAAATTTTTCCTGGCATTCAGACTAAGTGACAAACTGAACAGTTTAGTAGGCTAGAAGAGTATGTGTTGCAGTTCCCTCAAGTATGTCTTTTCATCTTCATGTAGCACATCTGAATAGAAAATATCTTTTTTTACAAGATGTTTTATCCTGAGGGATTAAAAAAAAAGTATGAAAAAAGATGAAAAAACCCCATGAAACTGAACTGAAATGTTTTGCCCATGTTACAAGATTATAGCATATAATGTTCCTATAATGTAAATATTCTTTGGCACACTATTGTGTGTTTACACATAAATTGTAGCTTGTATATATTTTTTCTTTTTGCAGTACTAACCGGGTGACATAATTGTTGCATTAGGAAAAAGCCATGTTGTATTTCCAGAAAAAAAATTTAAGACCATCTACAGAAGCTAATGTTGTGTATTGCAATTTTCTCAGCTACCTGATGGACTTTCTGCAGCTTTTAAAGAGCAACACATTGTGGCAGAGGAAATTCTCTAAGTCTCTGAATACCCAGGACATGAAGCACACTTAGGGCTGTCACCTTCCACTCGTGAAGCTACAGAAAAAAGACCTGATATAGTCATGATCCAGTTCAAAAGGTACAGGAAGCCACATGTCAAAACTCTTGATTTTTATATCAGTAGCATTTTTGCTATATCGATCTTTTTTGCTATCAGACATGCTCATCTTTCCCCGGTTGCGTTATTTGTTGTTTATTGAAAGAGTTTGTTGCCATATCCTCAGTTGGGTTTCTTGTTCTCAGAATAAGAAACCTAATTTCTTTCCAAATCTTTCTTTGCCATAGCAGTTCTGTATTTTTTTCTTATTAGGAAGGTCAGGAAAATGCACACAATTAAATGAAGAAGTGTTTGTTGACTCTCGTACTTTTTGGTTTTTCTGATGTCTTGCTATGACATGGATGAATAAGTTAACATTTGCCACTTTACTCTTCTTCAGGACTGCTGAAATACTGTTCAGGATTCTCACATCAGTTGAGACAGTATTTGGTGGCTAAGTAGAATTAAAGCTTTGTGCACCTATGAATTACAGTAGTCAGATAAGTGGTTTCAGCCTGGACAGATGTGGATAGATTTATTCTTGAAGAGTTGGCTTCTCCATCTATGTGGAGCAGCATATGCTAATAGAATGGTAACAGTATGAAATGATGGCCATAAATATTTGTATCAAATATACAAATTTCAGGCTTTCAGAGAGTTTTTGAAACAGAGATAGGAGGACAACACTAAGAAAAAAATTATAAGAATATCTGTAGAAAAACCCCAGAAGACTAAGAAATTATAAACTCCTAAATGTCCTCAAGGAACAAACATTGTCAATAGCAAAGTTTATTAATAGGAAAAAAATAAGGGAATGGCTAAGGAAATGACCCAAAAGTATAGCTTGAATCTTGGAAATTAGGCATTAATAAAAGGTGAACTTGTTCCATGAAGCAGTGATTGAAAATTAATAGTGAATTGAGATATAAATTGAGATTTGAAGATTCTGTTAATAATACATGTGTCACAGGACGCCAGTATGAAGAATTCTAGATTTGGGTCTCTATTGCTCCTCAGGTATTACTGGTGGCAGTAAAACACACATGCATGGAAATACAATTATATTTTTATAATACAGTGTCAGAGTATTCCAGATTTATACTGGATTTTTTGTTTTGCACAATCACTGGAGGATCTGAGGTCCTGATTACCCCTGAAGAGAAGCTGTTTATATCCAACATGACTGCCTGGTGCATCCCTGCTGGGGCATTTTTGGCATGTGTGCTTCAAACAGGCAGATCTGTTTTAGGGCTTTGATTTGTGCATCAAAACTCCGTGCAAACACTTCTTTTCCCCTTTATTGTAAAGTTGCTTCAATTACTGAGATGACCAGAAAGCTCTTTGTGTGAGAAGCTGTAATTTGTGTTGGCACTGCAGAAGATCAGGCAGGGGTAGAAACAAAACAGATCTTCTGATTAAAACATGGATAGTGATGTGGTTGTGGTAATGGCAGCTACTTGCACAGATGGGCAAAGCAGGAACACCACAAAATAAAGAGATTAAGCTGAAAACAGTGAGGGGGTTATGTATGAAATCCTAATGAATATTCATATAATAACTAAAGCGACTGCTGACACGGAGTGCTAATCCTTCTGCAAATAGCAATTAGCAGAGGTTGTATGATGGGTGCTGATTTGCACACAGTAGCAAGAGCTAAGAAATATCCTGGCTAAACAAAGGCTTTTGAATCTGCAAGGAAATCCTGCACTGTGAATCAGATTGCAAAATGATGAACCAGGTGCAAATGTGACACAGTCCTGCTAAGTATTATCTAAGAAATTATCTATGATCTAAGTACTGTTTTGTAAATACCTATACAGAAACCATCAGTAGGAACACACTGCTACGAGAGTCAACATATTCACTGAATTCAGCTGTAATGCAAGTAGCATTACAGAAACAGGAATTCAATTTTCTTGCTTACCTCAAGAGGCATTTGGGAATGAGAAATGTGGCATTTTTCAACTAAGTCTGGTGCACAAATGACAATTATTAATGTGCAGTGTATGGTTTGTGATGGAGGCTGGGTATGTGTGGTGGTTTTACCCAGCCTACCCACCAGAGCCACTCAATTAACCCCTGAACAAATATAACCATCAATTAAAATTCCATAGATATTGCAGATCTTGATGAGTTCAGCCCTTTAAAAAACATCCAAAAGATCTATGCAGATAAGCTCCTAAATTCTTTGGAAAAGTTATACTGACGATGTACAGTAATTACTCTTTACTCATGGAGCTAATATGGAAAATGAAGCTAAAGCCCAATGCAATTTATTCCATTATGAAGATACTCTTTTAGGCTGGCAGTTGTCAATGGAGCAACTGTTGATTTTTATATCAGTAGCATTTTTATTATATCAATCTTTGCTATCAGATGTGCTCATCAAAAATTGCACTATTTGTTGTTTATTGAAACAGTTTAGACCTTTGGAGGAGGTCTAAATCTGAAAGAGATTGACTCAAAAAGCACTTGGTGTGTCCTATATGACACTGTTACCAAAAAAAGGAGGTAAGGAGTGTAAGAAAGACAGAAAATGTCAAGTGCTGTGCTTCCCTCTGAATAATACATCAGTTTAGTGGCTCATCATGCTTAATAGCCATGGAGGGATGAGATCTCTTCTCCATAAACTTCTGTAAATCCCTTTTTGAGCCCCCTTCACTGTGTGTGCAACTGGTATCTCAAGCACTTGAGAATGTTTGGTTTTAAGTATGTTCTTTATTTTCCCTGGCTTTTTTTTTTTTGCCTTTTTTTTTTTTTTTTGAGTGCACAAATGAGTTCAACCAGTTGTGCAGTTTGTGCATAAACTAGTTAAAACACTGAGGAATCAACATCTTCATGTGTTTGAGTGATACACTTGAGTATATGTGTGCTGTAAGGAAAGAAAAAACTTTGTTGTTGTTAAAGAAAGAGATGTACAAACAGACATTAATTCTGTCATCTTCCCTTCATTCTGCTCCCTGCCAGTTCCCAGTGCAGGTCCATCTCTTGCCCCTGTGAAATTAGTCTAATTATCAGTTAATGATTGAAACTGGCAGTTCAATACACGTGTTCTGACATGCTGCAGGCTGCTAATTTTTAGCAGCATTGGATCGGTGCACAAAGAAAATTTGACAACAAAACAGAAACATTCTGAGAAATTATTGGGCCTTGAGAATTTAAGTTTTGAGGCTACTGAAACTTATTCCTTTGAAACTGGCTGTGTTTCCCACAAAACCAGGGAAAGATAAAACTGAAATTGCTCTTTTTAATTTTTTTTTTTAATTAGCAGCATGTATCATGAGATAATTACATACTACTTACAAAAAAGAAAAGAGAGATATTGTATCATCATATCTGACATTGGGAAAGCTGCCTGATATAAGATAGGCAGGTTTGTACCTCCTACCCACAAAATTAGGGTCTCAGAGCAGCTTTTATACTCCCAGCTTGAGCTGTGAATTTAGAACTGTTGTCAGGCTATGAATCAATTTTAACTGCATCTTCTGGCATTAAATCAGCATAAAACATGGGCATTATGTGTTATTTTAGTTTGGACCATTAGTAGTCATAGTACTTTACTTCCTGGATGAAAGAATTTTTGACAGCTGATAAGAAATTATGTTGTCTTCACCAATGGATTTTACAGAAATTAAAAGCAGTGAATATTTTAAAAATCAACACATGACAAAATAGCTGGAAATTTTCATGTTCATTCTAAAGCTGTCCCTTTTTCAGGTGGCTCCTGATAAATAGGAATGCAAGGCCTTAATTAGGTGGGTGCTACAGATGGATTCCTTACAGCCACATCCTTTTAAAAATCAGAAATCAACTTTTAAGATCTGTGTTTGACAAATTTTATTGTGAATTTTATTATAATGTTTTTTTGTAAATTTAAAGGCAGAGGGGAAAAATGGTATAGAATCTCAGATTTTTCCTTCGAAAATAAATTGATTCATTGCACTGTAAGCAAGTTAAATGCCATAGTCATCCTCTGCAGAAAAAGATGCTGAAAAAAACTCGAGATTTCATTTTCTGTTCTGTGCAGAAAGTTGAGCACTCTGGAAATTCTTTAAAGAAATTCTCCAAGTAGGGGAGGATTCAGAGCAAGCCTCTAGTCTCACTAGCAAAGCCACAAGGAGGAACCTCAAGGGATAGCCTGTTTGCCAACTTCATTTCTAGGTATTGTTAACATGACTGCTTCTCCAGTAGTGGCTTATATTAAATTGGATGTCTTTGATCCAAATGAAATAAAACAGGAAACACCACTCGGTAATTTCTATGTAAGAAGTAAAAAGCTGAAAACGTTTGGTATACTTGTAAAAAAAAAAAAAAAGATAAATGTGACAATTTTTCAATCCTTCTGTTAGCCCAGAGCTTAAGCCAAGTTCCTTAAAAAAAAAAAAAAAATCTTAAAAATGTGCATGTCACAAATATGGTTCAACACTAAAGTGAATTTATACCAGGGAGTGGGTATGAAGCTATCTTAGAGGAAATTCTATGCCTTAAATCTTGGCTGGGGAAAACATGCTGTGTTTTTATGCTGCCTGTATAAATCAGAGCTGGGGGGAAATGTTTTGACTGACCTCTGGAAACAGAAGCTACACTTCTGCTGTCTTTATGCCATGAATTGATGACAATTGGTGTTAAATGCTTCAAACCAGCAATGATACAAATATCCTCATTTCAACTTATCAAGAAGAAGAACAAAATTGCCTAGATGTATTTCAATGAAAGAAGGCTTAAATTGCCTCAAGGAAGTTAATTTCAAGATACGAGTAAAATATTTGAGTCAAATTTGCTCTGTGCTATCAGTAGAGTTGAAATAGTGTAGAGACACGAAGGAAAAAATCCATTATTTCAAGAATTAATACCATAAGGAAAACAAAGTAAATATGAAAGTCATCTTTCAACTGGGAGTTTTCTTTGCTGGGATGTATCACCTTATGCAGGCACACGGGAAGAGATTGCTCTCACTAAAATATGATGATGTTTACAAAGTACTTACTGGACATGACACAATATATCTGACAACTTCCAGGCAGAGTATAAATGTGAAATATGATGTTCAGGCAGGCACACAGTCATGGAAAGGGCACTGCCCCTTTCCACTGCAGTGCCAAGAACGTGTTTAACTGAGCTTTGTGATACAGCCCAGCTAAAGCAATGTTACATTATTACTTACAAGGGAATGGAAATTAATTAACAGAGTGAAAGCGAAAAAAAGCAATTTTAAAAGATAATGATGATGATATGTGGCACTTCCCACAGTGGTTTCAGGATGTCTGGGAGTAGGCCAGCATGATGCTGTTTCTCATGCCCCTTGAAGGAAAGGCATCTTCTCACTGTGCCTTTCTCAGCTGGCTCTTCTGTTCCTCTGACAAACTCTGGAATAAATACTGAGAGCAAATGAAAACAAGACCAAACAGCAACCAACTCTTGAGGAGAGACAGCTCTGTGTGATGTGCTGTGGGACAGCACCAGCTAAAAAGATAAAGTGAGCTCAGCCTGAGCCTTGGAAGGGAAGGCTGATGGTGTGCAAAGATCAGGGACATTTTCCCAGGGAATGCCATGGATTTTTCCCAGGGAATGCCATGGATTTTTCCCAGGGAATGCCATGGGTGAGGCTGAGGCTGATGGTGCACAGAGATCAGGGACATTTTCCCAGGGAATGCCATGGATTTTTCCCAGGGAATGCCATGGATGAGGCTCAGGCTGATGGTGCACAGAGATCAGGGACATTTTCCCAGGGAATGCCATGGATTTTTCCCAGGGAATGCCATGGATGAGAGCAGAGCACGGCACTAAATGGCTGAACCTGCTGATGAAATGCATGGGACAAAGAGCTCCAGCCAGGCTGCTGTTCTGTCTGGCAGCCCCAGTGGTTTATGTTTTATCCATGTCCCAGTCATAAACAGCCCCAGAACTTCCCTGGGGCTCGCCATGAGGAGCAGCTTGCTTTGCAGGAGCCCTGAAGCAGACTGAGGGCTGAAGGAAGGGATGCTCTGGAGGTGGATGTTGCTCACTTGTGCTGGCTGCAGCATGAGCATTTCAGATCTCATTTTTTCAGCATGTTTATTATTTTAGTGGGGAAAATCCATAAAGTTCAGAAAGTTCAGACATATCTTGCCTCTTTTGCCCACGTTGGAGGTCCACTTACCTCACAGCAGTGGGAGCTTGTGGCAAGGTATCTGTTGCCAGGTCTAGTCCATAAAATATTGCAGTTCTGGAACATTATGTGGATACCTAACTGTTCTTTTTGAAGACTTTTGCAATGTGAGAATCCTGTTCACCTTGCCAAGACAAATTCTGGAACAGGATCTCCAAGTGTGTTTTCTCTCACCTCCCTTTTGATGTCTCTGTCTGATATCTACGTCTGAGCCTGTCGCCTCAGGCTCCCTCCAACGATAAGGAAAAGAAAAAAAATCTTAAGATATGGTTAATTTAAGTGTTCCTTTTTTCCTCTGTTGCCTATTAATGGAATTTAAAAAGAAGACCTGAGATGGAGGTTTTTCTTTTTTTAAAGTATAACTTTTTTTTACATATTAGATATCCACATTTGGCCAGATGAATTTCATAATGCAAGGCACCAGCAATATCCATTCTTTCTTCTTTACTTTTAATTTTTCAACTGGAAATTTTGGCCTGCTGTAATGATACCACACATTAACCCAGTTGTTTGATATTCTTCATATCTGCTGAACTATTAATTCAGTGGATAAATTCTTTCAGAGAATTCCATCACCACTGAATAAGCTCTTTGAGACTTTCTTGTTGATATTCCATTATTACAACTTTTTTTGCACAAATTAGCCAAAAGTATAGACCATGCAGTGCTGATAGTTAACATTTTGCTGTAAGTGATGCATTAACTTATGCAATAGAAATGTCTTGTTTAGAACTCATATGTTAAACAAACAGACAAACAATATGAAAATCTTTAATTTAGTAGGTCCTAAACCACAATATTCCCACAGTTATGAAATTTAAGCATTGGTCTGTCAATATCTATGCTCAATAGCATGTCAAGGGATATAAATAAAGCTGGTTTTGACAAAGAAAATGAAATTTTTGACATGTAGCACCTGTCTGATATGGTCAATGCACAGCTTTGAGCCACAGAGTTTGATAAGGATCTATGACCAAAAGGGTGTGTGGTAAAGTGGGCTTAGAAAGGACAGCTGGTGACCCAAAAACTAAAAGTGGGATGCAGTTTTTTGTGTGTGTGAAAGTGCTGGCATTGTAGTAGGGCTGCTCTGTTTATAGGAATTGCAATCCAAGCCTGATTTGAGTTGGATTTATGTTGTACAAAATAGAAACATAAATTGAAATGTGGTTGGAGAATGAAATGAATTACATTTCTTTCTAGGGAGCAAGGAGCAAGTCACTCAGAGCAGGGCCTTGGACAACTTAATAGTGACCATCAAAATAGCAAGAAGAAAATGTAAATGCAAAGATTTTTCCATGATGTGTCAGCCACAGAGTTAGCTACAGGTGCAGTTTGTAAAAATGCTGGAGCACAAAGGAATGCAGATGGATAACAGTGGAATGCAGATGTGGAGAGTGTTACCAAACCCAGGGTGTTTCATCAGCAATGTGTGTTAAAGATGTAAAACATTTCTTCTGAGCAAATACATGGAAATTTTCTTTCTTTTCTTTTCTTCTTTTCTTTTCTTTTCTTTTCTTTTCTTTTCTTTTCTTTTCTTTTCTTTTCTTTTCTTTTCTTTTCTTTTCTTTTCTTTTCTTTTCTTTTCTT